GAAGGTCTATCTAGCTCTGTCCTCCTAATTGCATCAGCCAATCACAATCTGAACATGTGCAGACGTGACCTGTTTAAAGCTGACTTGGACAAGAAATACAAAGCTCTATGCATTAATAAAGAGCCAGTATCACAACAACTGTTTAGTGATGAGCTGGGGGAGCGCCTGAAGACCATAAAGGAAAGCAAGAAAGCAGCTTAATAGCTTACAGGAAACAAGCATAAGAGGGATGAACAGTACCCTAAAAGCTCCTATAAACAGTCGAATTTTTGTACAACTGCCGGAGTCACCAAAAGAGATACAAGTACAACAATAACATGTTCAACCCCAGCACAACACCAGAGTCAAAATCAGCGAAGCAGAAGTAAACCCTCCATTGGTAGGTCAACAAACTAATATTAAATCACTACCAGATTTCTGACAGAAGGAAGACAAGTTAGAGCCCAAATATTGCAGGGCGTATAAGATTATTCCTTGATAAATGGAAAAATATCACAAGTGACAAACATATTTTCTCAGCGGCATCTGGTTACAAAATTGATTTCATTGTTCAACCAGTACAATTTAGTGAGCCTAGACCAAATAGGTTTTTCCAACAAGAAAGCGAAAATACTGATATACAGATTTAAAACTTCCTTTAAAAGGGCATTATTGTAGAAATCCTGCATAAAAAGAGAGAGTTCATTTCGAACATATTCCTACGCCCAAAAAAGGATGGTTCTTTCAGAATGATCCTCAACCTTAAAGAGCTCAATAAATTTGTTGAGTTTCACCATTTTAAAATGGACTCCATCCACACTTGTGTTAACCTCATGAGGCCATCATGCTAAATGGCGTCTATCTACCTCAATGATGCATACTATTCTGTTCCAGTCCATCCAGGTCACCAGAAATACCTTAAACTTTCCTGGAACAACAAACTATACCAATTCACATGCTTAGCCCAAGGCTTGTCGTCCGCACCTAGGCTATTTACAGAGATAATGAAACCAGTCTTCTCTTCTCTCAGGGAAATGGGTCATATCCCAAGTGGTTATCTTGACGATTCTTTCCTTGTGGGCTACAGCTTACATGAATGCGAGGCTAACATCAAAGATACCCTCTCCTTTTGCAACAGCTGGGTTTTATGCCTCATGCCATAAAATCAAGAACACCAACCCACATTCACATTCTGCACCATTTAGGATTGGTCCTTAATTCTTTGGTTATGACAGTGTCAATATCTAAAGAAAAACCCTTAAATCTTGCTAAAGCAATCCAAGAGCTTTTGAGCCAAAACTCCCCCACTATACTTTAGACATGTTTGCCTCTCAATTGAATTATCAAATATCACAATATGTATTATGGCATTCGGACCCAGAGGCATCAGCTATTGATGCTTTTTCTATTGGGCGGGAAGATAAGTTTATCTATGCCTTTCCTCCTTTCACTTTAATCCCACAAGTTCTTCAGAAGCTCGAGCAGGATCAACCATAGCATTAATAGGTCGATCCTTTATAGCGATAGGTCCATTGAAGAGAGAGGATGGATCGCTCGCAGTTGATGACTCCTGCCTTAGTACAACTATGTCTCATCACTTGCTTATAATTCATTTTACCAATCGAAGACTGCAGTTTGGGCAGTTGAAATCTCGTAGTTTTTAATCATTTTTGCCAGAGATCGTTTTAAATTTGAACTATGTTTCATCCTGGCTGAGGGCCTTCAATATTTTCACGTATACCTCAAGAGGCTGGGCAGAAAGCCCTTTTGCTCGCTCGATGCTTGGAAAAGACCACGTTGAAGCACGAAGCCCACCATCGTCACCTTCATTTTAGTTACAAGGCACTGCAAGATCAATTTGTGGCACAATCGTTGAGGTTTAAACCACCTGGCAGCCATCCTGTCTTCCAACAAATCATGGATCGTGCCAGTAAGCATTGCCTCCAAGCAAGAATAAACATTTGCCACTAAATTTTCCCAAATGCCAACTAACATACCTCATAAGGACATCCTCGCTGAAATTGAAGCTGCCATCCACCACCTACCTGATGATTCCAAAGATACAGTAAGAACAAGTTCTGCTGCCATTCTTCATCGGGCACGACTACCAGCACACAATAAGGTTTCCAAAGAAGAAAGAAAAGCTTTAAACAACCTTACCAGTCTAGACCAGTCTAGAGTCGTAATGAAGGCCGACAAGGGGAACTGTTTTGTTGTCATGGATAGACCTGACCATGACAGCAAGATGGAAACCTTATTCCATGACAGATCCACCAATGAAGTAGTTCCCGCATCTCCTTTCTGCCGAATTGAACATGAACTGAACGCTATGCTTCTTTCCCTAAAGAGACAGCTTAAGATAGATGAACCAACATACCACAAACATCACTCAACTGATGGCACTCCACCAGCGATTCACATTCTGTTAAGCACCATAAAGAAGGGAACCCACT